TGGATAAAAATGTTGAGTAAAACAGCAAAATACAGACCCATATGATAAGCTAATAGGTTTCTCCTTATGCCAGTTTTGTTAAATAAGGTTGTTCAGCACATACTAACCTCCTTCATTGTGGTGTCCTCAAACCCTCATTTGCTCAACTTGTTCACAAAGACACTAGAGAGCCTTCTTGAAAGCAAAAACAGTATTTACACAGATCTAGTCTGACACCTCCAAAGTTGGATATGTGATTAGTTGGTTATCATTGCTTTTAGTAAATCCATAAATGTGTCTGGTATTCATTGTTTTTCTGAGATATGACAAAGCCCATGTGCATTAAGCTATTCTACATTTTTTAAAAGATCTGCAGTAGACTACACAGTTAATTTCTTGATTCCTATCTCTCTTCTCCTTTTTTTGAACATCAGAATATTTAGCCACTTACAGTCTTTTTGTATCTTTGCATTTTCTTTTTTTTCTCAGATTTGTCAGCAGTGGTTACATAATTACAACCACAAAGTTCTGTTTCAGGGAAGTGATTCCTTTAGCTTAGAGAGTTGAATTCATTTAAGGCAGTTATTAGTCTTTTCACCAAGTCTACATTTCGATCAATCTTTACATTACTTTTTATCTTTCTGGTCTAAAAATCATTCTCCTGAGAAAAAAATGGAAGCAAAATAGAAGTCAAATAGTTCTCTTTTCTCCATGTCATCTTTGGTGTATTCTAAGTTAGGACCCTGAACTTTCACTGGTTTGGTCTAGAATTTAGATGCAGTGTGGGGTTGAGAGGTGGGTAATTATTGCCATCCAGAGAGGTTCTTTGTTTTTGTTTTAATTCTTATCAGAGAACTAGGTAATTTTGATTTGGAAAGTATATTTTTCTTGGAGTACCTTTAATAACTATTGGTTTATGTAAACCATCCTACTCATGATGGTCTCTGTTTTGTTTCTTTGTTGTCAGCTGTTAATTTTTACTGGTGATTTTCCATTTCATATTGTCAAATTCAGTGGCCTAGGATGTATATTCTGGTACATAGGAAGTTGAGCTTCATGAAAACTGTTTCTCTTCCCTCTTTAACTTGACAGCACTTTGTTTTCTAATTAACAAAATTCATTTCTGCCTTTGCATTTCCTGTAGTTCACACTCATGCTAAATTCCCAGTTTCAACAGCAGATGTCTCTCATGAGCTGCTTTTAGGCTTTGCTAAGATCTCAATTACCTACGACAGTCAGATCCAGCTAATGAGTGGTTCTCCGTGCTTGTTATTTCTTAGGGATCATTGAGTTTTATTTTCATGGTAGGATTCTTTATAAGTAGAAGAAACTAGAAAAGACTAGAGATGATTTTGTCTAAAAGTTACTTTATAGATGAAAAAAATTAAATGTAATGAACTTGTCTAAGAAATTGCAGTTGAAACGAAGTTCTCTAAATTTTGTATTAGTGCCATTTCCCTGGAGGGAGAATTTTTAAAGGTGAAAGAAACTTAGAAATATTTTTTTAAAGAGAAGAAAATTGAATTCTAAAGTAGTTAAATAAAATTTCCCGTTGTCATAAAGCTAAATGGTAGACCTGAAATTCAAAAACAGTTCTTATTAGAGACCAGTGCTTTCTACATCATGCCTTTCTATCAGAGTACTATTTTTCTGAGCAACTCTCACAGAACATTTGTATTCTCAAATTTCCTTGTTACCTTTAATATTTGGAAAGTTTCTGTCCTGTCTCCTAAGTGTCTTCTGGTACATCATCAATTATTTTCTTAGAATGTGCTCCATTTTATCATTTCTTCCCTTTTAGATTTACTTTTAAACTAACTGCAGACATTTGACCTTCTTGAACGATATTTTAAGAATTTATTTCTTCTTAATTTTCTAATCTTTTCAAATGTACTTACTGGATATGAATACTGAAAACATGTGGGTAAACATGTTATTTGTACTTCAGTCACTAAGGTGAAATTGTCTTTGTGGGAAACTAAAAATTCTTATGTATGTTGTTATCTCCTTTACCCTCAGGTAATCCAGACAGTTATAATACTTTCACTATTTCTTTCTACTGCTATTTGTGGGTTATTTATTTATAGTATATATGATAAATATTGAGAATTGAGTTGAAAAACATTCTTGCTAAGTTGAAATGAACCTAGTACATTTTTTGTATAATAGGTGATTATTAGGCCCATTGTTATCTGTTTAGTAAGCAGATTCTATTATAACAACTCTTTGTACAGTACTATGCTTGGCATTGACTGAAACTCAGTTGGAACTGAGCATAATCTGAATTATTTTAACTTGACATTGGAAAGCAAAGTGAAGAAAAATTAAAAGAAGCATTGGTCTTCACATACCTGTTTTAACCAAGTTGCTATAATTATCTGATATAGATTTTTCTTAAAATTAGACAGTCCTAGAGGCCCCTGGTCATCTTTGCTATAACTCTATATTATAACAATTATAACATTATAGAACAATTATTATAACGATACAGAACTGCATATTTTCCAATGTATACATTAATATGCTTTCAGATATGGATGGATCTTATAAGATATAAGGGAGAGTCTTGGTGCACACATTTTTTATGACCATAAAAAATGTTTCCTTGAATATAAAAATGTTGCACCATTATAGATACTTAGAATTTGAAGGAACCCCAGCACTCAACTAGTTACCATCAAGTGCATGAATCATCTTTACAATATCTACACATTTTTTTTTATCATTTTGACACATATTGTCTGTATTCTGTTTCTGCCTCATTGTCTTTGTGTGTATGTTCTTGATGCTATAACTTCTTTATTTCTCTCTTTTTTAACCTTTTTCCCCCTCCAATAGTTAACAATAAATATGAAAGTTTTTTCCAAATTATTTAATTTGGAAATTTGGAAATTTAATTATTTATTAAAGACATATAGTCTACTCTTTGTCTTTGAAGATAAAACTGTAGATAGAGTCTTTTTGTTACCATAGATGTGGTTAACCATCTGAAATTTGCTTTAAAATTAAGATTTTTTAAAAGTATTTTGAAATGGAAGTATCAGTTTTGTATCAAATTGATAAAAGTTTGTGCTGTGTTGTACTTTTTCAGAAATAGTTTATATTGCAGTTGTATTTCATTTTCTACAATTTCCTGGAAGTACTTGAACGATTTCTCATTAACCTGAGAAAGATCTCTCAGCTAACTATAAAGCAGATTTTTTCCCCCCAGGAATTGAAGCTAACCAGTTTAAGGGTAATACAGTTAACTTTGTAGGTGTGTGATTATTTTAAGCACATACACGAGTTTGGAGACAGTATAGAGCATGTAAGAAGGTAGTCCATCTAATCTAGTTTGTCAAGGGGTAGAGCTTTGCCAGGGTGAGTGCCATCTTTAGTATTTAGATTTCCTGAAACAATAAGGAATTAGGCAAAGAGGTTGCCTTTAGACATTTAAGATTCAGTTTGTGATACTTTTAAAGTGACACCAGAAAACTTAATCTTATGTGACTTTGTAAGAATATAAATATTTTTGTGTGTCAAACCCATCATATTAGAGACTAGAACTACAAGAGATAACAATTTTTTTTTTTAAGGAATGTAGATTATTTTGCCTATCTGAAATGGGCCACCCTTAATGCTGCTAAGAATTTTAGACTGGTAGGGAAGAGTGGCTAAAGCTTTGAGATTTAGGGATTAAATTTGTAATCTGTTCTTTCTGGCAGATGACATAGAGCCCATAAGGTCTGTGTTCTCACTGTATTCAGGAAAGAATCCTGCCATGTAGAGAATATATATCTGGTTCACGTATGCTGAGCTCCACAGCCAATGCATTTCTTGAAGTAATTTTCTTAAACTTAATCACCTGGAAAGGGAGAGCAATACAGTAATAAATAGGTTGAGACATAAGAATGGGTCAGCATGAAAAGGAAAAGCTAAGATGTGGGTTGGCTTCACTGTAAACCCCCTCGGCCTAAATTTGTTCACCATTTATGGGAATAGTTTAATAATAAAATATCAAATTTTAAGTAAATAGAACGGGTTAGCATGTACAGACTGCCCACATGTACTAATTCTTATAAGAACCATATGAGATGTCCATGAGAAAACTGAGAAATTAAGTATTTTTCATAAATTCAGTCAGCTAGCTAGTGACACAGTTTGGATTTATTCCCAGATATTGCAATGCAAAATGAAATAAGGAAAGGGTGAATAAAAAATGCCAGAAGTTCAACAGAGTTTTTGGGTGAGCTTGGGCAGCCATGATCACAGTTTGATGTGGCCATTAAAGTTTAGGTCCCTGGATTGAGATCCCATGGCTCCAGTTTGCACATATTCTTTAAGGAACAAAATGAGGTTCGGGTACCCAAGAGTGACTTCATGTGCTTCCTCCTCCTTCTCTAAGTTAGCCCCACCTCTGCTGAGTAGATTCCTGGTATGAGCCATTTAACAAAGAGCTCCAGTTATAAGGTCCTGTTATTTTGTGTGATATCCAACCACTGTCCTCTCTGCCCCTTTCATCAAGACAAGTTTCCTGATCAAAGCAAAATCATGAGTGCATCTAGGTAAGCCAGACTATAAATGACAATCTTAGCTTACCACCATAATAAGATGTGATTATTATGTGTTTATTTTCAGTCTTCTGTTCCTATCACTGTTCTGTGTTATGCCTTATATTTTTAAGGCTTTGAGGAGGTTAATGCATTTTGTCGTTTAATAAAATGACACTCATAGCACAGCTTTCCATATAATTAGGAACTAAACAAATTCTTAATAGTGACATCGTTTATTTTTAAGCTTGAAATTATTATTTATTTCATTTGAATACCTTAACATTTAGCCAGAGTGCTGGACCATTTTCATTTGCAGCTGTACAAAATGATTTTTTTCATGAAGTAGTGTTGTCCAAATAAAGAAAATTACATAATCTTGATAAAGAGATGATTTGATACATGGCAAAGTTCCTCTATATATAATTCTTGGTACATTTATATCTGCTTCATCACCATACTCGTTACATTAGATGAAAACTGACATTCCTTCTATACATAACTGACTTGCTCTTCAGTTTTGTCACCTTCATTTTCTGTGAGGAGAAGTGTATCTAGTAGAATGATTGATGAAGACTGAATGGTTGAACTGTGGAGCCTCATTGGGCTTTGGTACATGGCAGGATTAACCCCATTTCGCATTCCGTGTTTCATGAAAAACTTAGAGTTCTCTGCCATTGGATTTCGAAAGTAGATATTGCTGGCGCATTTTCTGACAGTTTTTACGGATTTTGTGGCCCGGTAATTGCAGGTGATATATCGGCCAAATGCATTCCGAAATGTCTTGTTGAAGAGGGTGTAGACCAAAGGATTCACCCCTGAGGAAACATAGCCTATCCACACAAATATCTCCAGGAGCATTTGGAGAGTAGTCTGGTTGCAGGAATCACATAAAACTAAAGTTATATTTGTAATAAAAAAGGGGCACCACATAAGCAAAAAGAGAAAAAACACAATCCCTAGAACCTTGGAGGCTCTTTGTTCATTGGAAATGGTCTGCACTGACTTTTTCCCAACTGTGGACATTCTTCGCATAAGTAGATCATTCTTTGAGTTGGGCGGAGTTTTGTCCTTGTGGGTACCATCCAGCATTGCTACCTTTTCAGGTGATGAGCAAGGTGTTTCATCCCTTTGGAAAACTGTAGACACAGTCAGCCATGTTAGGCGATGAGGTGGCTTGTTTTTCACCAAGTAAGCTTTCTTCTGTAAAGCATGAATAGTGAGAAAGTAGGTGACAATCATGATTGCCAGAGGTGTAAAGAAGGAAGCCAGTGAGCCAAAGAGCATGAAGTTGCCAAAACGGTCCTTTGTTAGCACACAGGTAATGTTGCTTGGGTTAGCCACATCAGTTTCTATGCCTTTAATAGGGACTGGAATGGCAATGCCTAAGGAAGAAGAAACAAGATAAGTCTAGTTAATTTTATGACTTTTGACTCTTAGGTTATGTCCTTTTAGGGTTTATCTTAGTGACTTTATGTGATTAGTGGTTAGTGTATTGTAAATTCCTGATACACACAATGCAGAATTTGTCAAAGCACTTAATCCATGGAAGATTTAACCAGTAGAAGCTAAGTAAACAAACCTACTGTTTTTAAACTGTTTTTAAACAGTTAATTGATTAGTGATTTCAAGTTTATAATTAAAGCTTCCCTGGGGTGCCTGGGTGGCTCAGTATGTTAAGCATCTAATTCTTGGTGTTGGCTCCAGTCATGATCTCACCGGTTGTGGGACGGAGCCCCGTGTTGGGCTCAGTGCTGGCATTGCATACTGAGATTCTCTTTCTCACCCTCCCTGTTTCCCCTTCCCCACTCTGACATGCGTGCATACGCTCTCTCTCTCAAAATAAATAAACTTTAAAAAAAAAGCTTCTTAAATCTGTAGTATGTCCATGAAATAGCAGAGAATGTCTTCATTTATATCTGTTTATTGATCTATCCCAGGTTAAGGAAAAGGAATTCAGAAGAGAATTTGCTTTTATCTTTACATAATAAAGAGACTTCACAGTACGTTCATGGAATATCTTAATTCTGGATAGATACCTATTATCTTTGAGGCTACCCAGTTTCATTGAATAGACATTTTCATTTTTTGAAATTCATGAATGTCTTCATCTTTTCCTCTGACTTAGAGAAAACTAAAGGGTTCATTTTTTTTTAAATAATGCTACTTAAAAATATGAGAGGATATGAATCATAAAATTTATTTTCGAGTTGAGAGTTCCTCTAATAGAGATGAAAGAAATGTATCTTATGCTAATCTTCTAATACTTTAAGTACCATGAAGTAGGTATTTAAATGTGATCTTGCCTAGTGAAGTAGCTTATTAGGAAGACAGGTACATAAGTGTTATCCTGCATCCTTTCCCTCTGAAACAGCAGAAGTCTAAATTAACTGATCTTTCGAAACCTCTAGAATCCTTGTGTTCTATGAATCTGAAAGTACTTCGTCATGTACACAGCCTTTCTATGGTTACTGAAGAACCTTTGCCAAAAGTATCTTCCTCAAATCTTTTCTGACAGAGAGACTGCTTTTTCTACTTTTCCTCAGGTACACCACTCGAAAGAGGATTCTGTATTACTCTTGTTCTACACTGGGGCTCAGCATACTCACCATGAGGGCCAAATCTGGCCTGTCTTCTGTTTTTGTAAATAAAATTTTATTGGGACAAGCCATACCCATTTGTTAACAAATTATCTGTGGCTTTTACTATACTGCAGAGTTCAGTAGTAGTGACAGAAACCATATAGACCCTGCAAGCCCAAAATGTTTACTATCTTACCCTTTACAGGAAAAGTTAGCTAACCCCTGTTGTACCCTGTTAATTCTAGGTAATCATTCCACTGTTATTTACCCCCTAAAACTCCTCCCTTTTGAAGTCTATTTAATCTGCTTATACCACTCTGCTCCTCAGCTGCCAGCCCTCAGGACATCTGTCCATCTTCCTCAGTGGATTCAGTACTTTGCTGTTGCCTCTCCACACGTTACCTTCCATGATTTCATCTCATTGATGACCCTTCTAACACCTTCATTTTACGTCTCTTGAACTCAACTCTGATTTTTTAAATTTTACTTTAATTCCAATGTAGTTAAACATACATTGTTATATTACTTTCAGGTGTATCAACTCTTATTATTTATTTCTTGGACTCCTGAAGCCATCCATAAGCCCTCTTAAAACTGTCCCATATCTAAAACTGTGAACTTCATTTGATATTTCCCTTTCTTGTCCTGCTGCTCTTCATCACTGTGGAACTTCTTTCCTGTTATCTTCACCTCTCGTCCATTCTTCCTTCTCTGTATTCGCACTCCATTAACCCTCTATCAAGGCTCACAATACCTTCTCAACCAACTTGGTGGTCAATAACTGGTACTTTTTTTTTTTTTTTTTCATGTTTACTTAGTTTTGAGAGAGAGTTGGGGAGGAGCAGAGAGAAAGGGAGACAGGATCAGAAGCGGATTCTCCACTGACAGCAGCAGAGTTGGGTGTGGAGTGGTGCTCAAGCTCATGGATTGTGAGCTGAGCTGCATTGGACGCTCAATCAACTGAGCCACCCAGGGGCCCCTTCAGTAGTACTTTTTATACCTTTTCCCCTTATTCTTCCATACCTTAACTGTTATATGCCAGGTCTTACCTAGGATAACTGAGCTTTTATCAAAGCACTTTGCAGAATTTAAAACCTAAACTAAACTTTACTACCCTCTGCTTTTTCTTTTACAAAGTTACCTAATTGTCATTGGTTCTACAAAGCAAAGTGTGATGAAATGAACAGAGCATTGATCTTGGCCTTGGTGCTGAAAAGCTGATAACAGTCTTTAAGCCAACATTTTAAAACCTCTAGGTTTCTTTTCTCATCTGTAAAGGGAAAAAGTGGATTTATAAGATCCCTTCTGAAGCTATAAGTCTGGAGTCATCTTTTTATCCTTTCCCCTCTGTATACTTAACACTTTGTAGTAGTCTAATTTGTTTTATTATCTTCCTTCCTTGAATATAAAGGCTCTTTTTTTACTTATCTTTGTATTCTTGGTACCTAGCATATCATGGGTACTCAAAGATTTGATCTGTTTATGGATTCATGTGACCCAGCCTTAATTGAAGTATCACTTCTAACAGTAGGCTGTTTATTTATTGGCTTGATCATATTTCATGGTTTCAAATGTTTTCATTCTTCTTAAAGATCATTCCTCCTGTTTTCTCCCTGCCTTTGCCCATTTCCCCACCCTACCTCAACACACACACCTCACAGTATCTCCCCCTTCCTCTCCCTCATTGCAGTGAGCTTACCAGAAAGATGTCGGTCTTTTGCCATGAGCTACTGTAGTTTTCCTCCTTTCCACTTTAAATTTTGGTAACTGTTACCCATTATCTTCCATACCCTTTCTCTAGCTTCTTTTTGGGGTGCCTCTTCTGCTTTGTTAATCAGCGTTTGTTCCTAAAACTGTCCTATCTCACTGTCTGCACATTTATCCATTTTGAATAGTCTTTTCCTTGATCCTACTTTCTTCCCAAGCCAGAGTAGTAACACTCCTTACTTCTACCTCTAAACTTTTCAGAGGAGGTTTGGCCCTGGTATCATTATTTCAGGAATATAAAGGTCATTTTCATTGTCTTGCTTTCTTGCTTTTTTTTTAACCCAGTGTCCCTATTCTGATTAGAGAGAGAGCATGTCTTATTCTTGTTTTCCTTTTAGCATTCTCTCTTGATTTTATTCCTCTCTGATTTCTTTATTTGCTAGGAACAAATGAACCTGCTTGGGACGCCTGGTTGGCTCAGTCGGTTAAGCGTCTGAGCTCAGGTCATGATCTCAAGGTTCATGGGTTCGAGCCCCGCGTCGGGCTCTGTGCTGACAGCTAGCTCAGAGTCTGGAGCCTGTTTCAGATTCTGTATCTCCCTGTCTCTCTGACCCTCCCTGCTCATGCTGTCTCTCTCCGTCTCTCAGAAAAAAATAAAACATTAAAAAAAAAAAGAAATGAACCTGCTTGTCAGACTATTAATGTAATGATCATAGTAACTATTATGAATCTATTTGTTTTTCTCATGTTAACTTATAAACGGTTTGAGCTTTTTATGCTGTACCTGATGCTAAGATACTCTACTTTAGTAGCTATTTTTGAGCATTGAAGATGGGCACAAAGGCATAAAACAGTTTAGAAGAAATATTTACTTCTGTAAATCATTTCTGAATATCACTTGTATCTCTCTTAAAATCTCTGATTAAACATATATCCAAAACATGCAGACATGTTAGTCTGCACACATATTGGCTTCCAAGATTAATCTATGATTTTTAATATCTGCATATAAAATGTTTGGATTTTTTTTCTCATTTCCTGTCTATCTTTTTAAATGTGATTGACGATGCATTTTATTTTTTTGCCACTTGCGATTCTGCATGCTGCCTAGACCTTAATGACAAAAATGAAAACTGTTTTCAGTTTTCATGTCTTCCTGCATGTCAGAATTAAAGTAGGAAGAGATCTCAGTAAACATTGTAAAGATGGTTCCTTCAGAGGATGTGAACTTTTCTCCGTTTTCACATGTATTGCTGATAGTGTGGTTTAGTAGCTGTATGATGACATGGCATAAGGAGCTTGTGTTGGCGTATCAGCAGCCTGCCTTGACCTCTCGCTGGGTTTCACAGCCCACCAGGTCTGGTGTATTTCCTAGCCAAATGGCACCAAAGGCTATTTATTTACACCACCCCACACACCCTGACATTCCCCACATACCTATTGAAATTAACCATACCACTGTAATCTTGATGAATGCTGTAGCTCGTGAGTTATATTGATTGGCCTGGATTGGCTTTTTGATGGCTATGTAACGATCCACTGAAATGGCACAGAGATGCATGATGGATGCGGTAGAAAAAAGAACGTCAAGAAATAACCAGGCAGGGCAGAGAACAAGTGGGAGGGGCCACATAGCCTCTGAAAAACAAAACAAAAACATGTTCTCCTGCAAAATGGCAATCTTTAATCTGCAGTTTCTTTTTAAAGTGACCATCGATTTTTAAACTTTTTATGTTATTCATCTGAAATTTTATGACTTAACCTCCACAATATGTTTAACTTAAGACAATGGAGTCAATGTCAATAATATTCAGTATATTTCTGCATATGATACCGTTTAAATATATTTTCTATTTTGTGTAATAATTACAACACTCTTTTTCAAAATCTGTAGTTTAGTGTCCTTAGCATACCACTGCTCTTTTGTCTATACCTTTTGTGATCTTTTAAAAATTTCTAGTGTAGGAGCGCCTGGGTGCTCAAAATCCCAGTCTTGATTTCGGCTTAGGTCATGATCTCAGGGTTGTGGGATCAAGCCCCGTATTAAGATTCTGTCTCTCTCAGGCACCTGGGTGGCTCAGTAGGTTAAGTGTACAACTTCAGCTCAGGTCATGATCTCACGGTTCGTGAGTTTGAGCCCTGCGTCAGGCTCTGTGCTGACAGCTCAGAGCCTGGAGCCTACTTTGGAGGCTGTGTCTCTGTCTCTCTGCCCCTCCCCCGCTTATGTGTGTGAGCTCATGTGCTCGCTCTCTCTCAAAAGTAATGAACATTTAAAAAAAATTTTTTTAAAAGATTCTTCTCTCTCTTTCTCTCTAATAAAAAATTAAAAAAAAATTTTTTTAAATGAATGGAAGTCTCAATGAGGCGTGGGATTTTGGCTCAGTTCTAGCAATAACTAGCAGCATGATCTTTGTTTATACTAAACTCTCATTTGGTGAAATAATTAAGTGGAATGACTTGAGTTTTCTTTTTGACAGAAGTAGTTCTTTGATAAAGTTTGCAAAAGGAATGGCTTCAGATCATTCTGAAGAAAAGTAAATTGTTATCTTTTCATATTCCATCATTCACTCCAGACTACTGGGGACTACTGTTTAAAAAGTCTCAAGGATTAGACATAGTACTTAATTTATGTAACAAACTCTTATAAAACATTTACTCAATATTTCATGTAGTCTTAAGCACTTAAGAAATACTAACTTTGAAATTTTCAGGTTTTGGAGATGATAACTATATTCTACATAGATTTCCAATAAATTTACTTAGATAAGTATCCATACGTATGTGGATATGATATATTATATATTATACATATACCCAGCATATATATATTTGCAGTTCTAAAACACCTAAAATTTATTATAGGGTTTGCCGTAGAATATTCCAGTTAGAATCCACTTTACTAAAAGACACACACACACAGATTTTAGAACTTGCTATAAAAGGAAACTACCTCTGTTTGAAGCAAATGTCATATATGTGAGAATATCTAAATCCTTTTTAGGGTTTAATTGTATGTGCACTGACAACATAAATTACTTTTGTTGGTTTTTCCACAGTGATCTGACTTTGACAAGTATAAAATGATTAGGATAATTGAAGGAGGACCAGGATAACCATTTTAGGATTTCAGAGCACCAAGAAACTCTTCAATTGTGATCTGTTTAAATTCAGAAATCCTGAGGGTGGAGAGAGGTTAGCATCCCAGAACAACAACAAAAAAGACTATAGTGTAGGGAAAGGGTTTTGAGATAGGCTTGAATATGTTATTTTTAAAAGTATGCAAATTAATGTTTGAGAGCAGTGTTTTAGAAGGCTCTGGGAAAGATTGTGTCTTGGGTCTTAAAAGATGCAACTATATTTGTTTGCTGGTATAGGATAGGTGCTCAGAATGCCTCATAGAAAGGAACTTATGGAAGACCTCTCAAAATAAAGAAATCAAGTATGGCAGAGAAATCTGTCTTTAAAAAGAATCTAATAATATTTTAAAAGAATACATAGTAGGGGCGCCTGGGTGGCTTAGTCGGTTAAGCGTCCGACTTTCGCTTAGGTCATAATCTTGCGGTTCGTGGGTTCGAGCCCCGCGTCGGGCTTTATGCTGACAGCCAGCTCAGAGCCTGGAGCCTGTTTCAGTCTGTGACTCCCTCTCTCTCTCTGACCCTCCCCTGCTCACGCTCTCGCTCTCGCTCTCTCTCTCTCTCTCTCTCCTAGAAATAAATTTAAGAAAAAAAAAGAATACATAGTATTCAGATATTCTGTTAAGTGGAAAAGAACTTTGAACAGTGAAAGGCAGCAGTCGACCTGAGCTTAAGTAAACTAAGTCTAAGTGAGTGAAAATAATCACATATGATTGAGAGAGTTTTGCAGCAGAAAGGACTTGAAATGAGGCTACATTCTGAACTGTAGTGAAGTTCTGCATTTAGGACTGAGTAGAAGACAGAAAAATACTCAAGTCTAGAGCTACAATGAGAGATTCTGATCATAGTTTTAAACTTGTCTATTTAGCTTTTCTAATTATGGGTTGTATGTCTTTAAATTAAGATCTGGAAAATTCTACTCATAAATCTAGTAGCTGTGAGCAAGAAGCCACAGTAGAACTCTCATGTAAAAAGGACAGATCTTTGGAAAATTGACTATTTGACCTAAATATTCCCACTTGTGGGCTAAAAGGGAAAGCTCTTTAGTGCTCATTTAATTAAGCCTGTGAAGCCTTGTTAAGCTCACTTTCCAACAGAATGAATTTATTTTATATTTTATAAACTCCAATTTTGGAATGCAAAGTGGGTATTAAAATTAGTTCAGATCACTAGAATTTTATTATTTCAGTCAGTATTTTTGCTAGTAGAAGTACTGAGGTGTGATAAACAAAGGAGACTGTAATAGGTTTAGGATTAAGAAAGATGGATCTCTATGATTGTTAACCTTTATGATTGCAAGTTTCATGAAATACTAGTCAATAGACTTTATAAAATGAATATAAAAGTAACATGACTGCATTTAATTAATAGAAATCTTTCATATGCTTGTCTGATTGCTTAAATAGGTTCAGAAAATCTAAGAATTTTTACCAATTAAAAGCAATTCTAGACATTCTCAAGTTATAAAGGGATTTTCCCTAGTCCAGATACTTTCATTCTAAAATTATGTTTTCAGTCGGCATTAATTTGATAGGCTTGAGGTTAGAAAAGTTTCTTACTATTCAGAATAACTAGGGGCGCCTGGGTGGCTCACTCAGTTAAGTGTCCGACTTCAGCTCAGGTCATGATCTCATAGTTTATAGTTGCAAGCCCCATGTTGGGCTCTGTGCTGACAGCTCAGAGCCTGGAGCCTGCTTTGATTCTGTCTGTCTCTGCCCCTCCCCTGTTCACGCTCTGTCTCTCAAAAATGAATAAATTTTTTAAAAAGTTTTTTAAAAATAAAATTAAAAATTGGGTTCTGGCTTGTCCCTAGAGAACATTCTGTGGCTGTCCTTTTTTCTTTTTAAGCCGTTATTTTTATTTATTTTGAGAGCAAGAATCCCAAGCGGGCTCTGCACTGTCAGTGAGATTGTGACCTGAGTGAGCCTAAATGAAGAGTCAGATGCTTAACTGACTGAGCCACGCAGGCACCCCAATGGCTGCCTTGTAAGATACTTATTTAAGATGTAAATGTTGGCTGTTTGCCAAATATGATTGTTTGGGTTGGTATAATTTCCCATTTCATTTGAGAAAGCAATGTAGAAGAGGTGAAGAGTGTGAATTCTGGAGTTGCTGTCCCAGATTCAAATTATGTCTCTTCCATTTATTTATTCCTGTGTCCTCTCTTAAAACATAGGGACATGATGATTACGATACCAATTTTATAGGATAGATTTGAAGATTTACTACAGATAAAGTGTTTAGGACAATGTTTGGCATAGAGAAAACACTCAGTAAATGTTAGTTCTTATTAGTATTATTGTCTGACAAAAACTAGCCAACTAGCCCAGCTATTAAAAACACTGCTCCTTAGAAATGTAGTCGTATCATTGCTATAGTATGTTTGTCTTCCTGCCTGCTGTAGCAAGAGTGTATGTATCCAGGGGCACCGGGGTGGCACAGTAGGTTGAGGCTGACTCTTGATTTTGGCTCAGGTCATGATCCCAAGTTTGTGGATTGAGCCCCCCACATCAGCTCAGCATGGAGCCTACTTGGGATTCATTCTCTCTCTCTCTCTCCCCCCGCCCCCACCCTCTCCTTCTCCTTCTCCCTCTGCCCCTCCTCCTTGAGTACATGTGTTCTCTCTCTCAAAAAAAATTTTTCCAAAGAAAAATTGTTTAAAAAAAGAAAAATGAGTGCATGTGTCCAACTGAACTTAAATCTGTACTCTTTAAAAAGCATGGGAACATGTTTAACTGTTTAACTTTTAATTAAATTTGTCATGAAAGTATGCCTTTTGCAAAAGTTGATTTTTAACTCTCTCTATATATGTATATATATAAATAGCAAGCATAAATAATTTATGTGCACTTCCATGCTTAGCTATTTATGTGTATTTGTTTATTTTGCTTTCTTTTTAACTGGTATAAAAACCTGAATTTTTTAAACCAGAAATTCCATTTCTTGATGAGATGGACTCATTTTGTCTGAAACCTGCCTAATCTTTAGGGAAGTCTTTAATTTGGGAAACTGAATTATTAGTTCAGAAAGTAATTAAAATTAATCTGTAAATCTGGGATATAAGATATTTGCCTTTTGAGGATTTTAGAAGAATTTTTTAATGCTTTTTATTTATTTTGAGAGGGAGAGAAAAAGAGAATGAGCAGGGGAGGGGCAGAGAGAGGGAAGAAAGAGAACCCCAAGCAAGTTCCAAGTCCCACACTGGCAGCACAGAGCCCGACATGGGGCTTGAATTCACAAACCATGAGATCATGACCTGAGCTGAAATTAACAGTTAACTGAGTGAGCCACCAGGTGCCCCTAAGAGACTTTTTTTAAAGCTGCCCCCAGAGAGCTGTGCTCATACTAAAGCAGGACAAGTCCTAAGTAGCCTAATAATCCGAAAAGGCATAGTTCTCAAAATTCCATTTTTTTAAATCTCAGAAATTCTTATTTTTCTACCTTTATCTTCCAGAAAAGGGAGACCTAGATCAACGCTTCAGTCTTTATTACGAAGCTTCTATTTTGTTTTTGTTGTCATTTTCCCAGTACATTAGAGCATATAAAATATTCTGGGATTAGATGTCTAATATGATAGTGTTTTAAATGTTTCAAGTGATTTAATACTTAGGAAATTTTCTTTTCTTGATTTTTACATTCCCACTTTCCAAAAAGAAGTACCTTTAATTGCTTTGCTCCCTCATTTAAGAATTAGGTAGAGCAGCATTTCACTGCACACATGAATAACTGATGTTTTTTCTTTTACTGCGGTACATCTGTTTCATCTCTGGTCAGACTTACACCTAAACTAAATCACATATTTAAGTATATAAACTCATACTCCACTTGGTCAATTATTAGTGCCTAATGTGGTCCTACTTGACCATTTCACAAGATGCCTGCAATGATTGAAGTGATGTGACTGAGTTGCCTAAGCCAACACAGGAGAACCAGGATTCAGAGGCTGGGTCATCTTGCTTTGAACCTGTATCTTTCAGTCATTGTATTTTATACACCCTCTTCCAGCTGTACGGCAGATACTGTTTCAACTATAATCCTGAGGCATGGATTAAAACTTAAGTTATAAATAAACCAGTAATGACCGGTGAATGACCAAACACTGTTATTTTCTCCTTTACGTTTTTAATCATTTATTCAATGAGAGAAGGGAAAGTTCAGAGAATTTCTTAAACTGTGAACATCTTGTCTTTTTTGTATTAGCATATGATCTATTTTCCTTTGCATCCTATTCAATATTTCTAATGTAGGCATTTCCAAGCCTTCTGTTATAAGCTACTAACGTGTGACTGTGTATATTAATAATTATATGCAGGATAGTAAAAACTGGAACTATAAAACAAAGGTTAAGTTTAATGCTTCCAGAGTGGAAGAAATGGCAAAAAAATTGACAAAGACATCACAATTCATTTGAGAGACCATGTTAGGGCAGTCATTATAATCTTGGTAAAATAGAAATTCTATTAAAAAAAATTCAAACAGTATATAATCAAATATTATATAAATCATTGGTTCAATAAAATACTCTAACATAAGAGCCAGTTTTAAAATTTTTAACTTCTCTCCTTTTTTGTAAATTTAATTTTATTAGAACATTAGTTAATGTAAAATTTTTTATGTTAATTTCATTAAATTGCCCTGAGATAACTAAAATCACTTATACCCACTCAGTAGTAGTTAATTTTTTTATGTTAACAGAATTGGGGACTCTTTTGTTTGTGCCAATTTCAGAAGTTCAGAAGATTATCCCTGTAATGAAAGAAAAATATACAAAATCTGTTCCTGCCTTTTAGAGTTAATCAGAAATTCTTATAAATGCATTAATTTAGAAAGTCTTTGTGTTTGTTAACATGTGAAAGCCTATCAAAATATCTTAGTATTTGAAATCCAGTCCCAATTTATAGTATGTGCAGTTCCCAATTTATGAATGTATCCTTTTGAAGCTTTTTGGAGAGCAGAGCATGCATTTTCTCATACACTTTCTCATAGAAATAGAAGAGTGTTTTCAATAATGAATTTAATGCAATAATTTTCTAAATAGTGGTTAAATTCCCAGGTTAGTTTATTTTTCAAAAATCTAATCCCCCTATAGAGCTTAATTACTGACAGTAAAGTGTTTGGGACTATGAAAGATTTTATTTTGTAATTAAAAATAAACATTTGAAAGAATGAAATGTAGGTAAAGCATATTATTAGGACAAAAATAGGAAGACGTTCCATATATTTTATGTTAAAATATGTCGAGTTTTCTGCTAACGTTTATTGCCAAGAATATTTTAGGCCCCCCAAAATTTTAATATAAACTTAGTGGTCAGCTACAGATACCTACTGTTTTCCTGTGGAATACTTGGAATTATCTCTCTTATCTGCTTTTGTGTTTTATCAGGTCACTCTAATACTATAGAACTTTGCTTTTTAAGATTCATTAACTATTTAGCTGATAAGTTGAATATTTACCACAGTATTTTTTTTTCATGTAGATTTTTGATATTTAGTAGCTCATGGACTTTAAAGTTGAAATTCAGTTCTGTGTAACTCATTTTATCTCATTTGTTCAATATAACATCAATTAAATTTATGGTAGTATAAGATGAGCATTGTAACATTTGCTGTGTGCCTAGCAAAAGCACAGTTTAAAGCGTGTGATTTTACTGTTAAGTTAGTATTGTGTGTGCAGAGATAAGAGTTTGAATCAAATTTCTGTACAGTCTTTACCAAATATACATAAATGGTTCTACATAATCCTCATTTTATTTCTCTTTAATTTTATTCAGAATTAAGATCCTTTAGGTTCTCCTTTCAGTTAAGGTATCTTAATTATTTTCCATGGTTACATGTAGCACTAAATTATTCAAAAGGTTACAGATTTATAGAAGATAATAACTAATTATTAATGATTAGAGAGTCAGTTGAAGAAGTGGGACTTTATTTATTACTGCGTGTCCTGCTAAGAATTTAAAGCCTGGGTAAATGGACTTAGAATAGGAAGTTTCAGCTGGTCACCATCTGATATTTGGGGGATCAGATACTTAATTTTAGATATCTCTATAATTACTTAAAAATGTAACATTTAACCTGAATATAATAGTTTGAATTGGAGTTTTTCTTCTTCTAATATGTATTCTAGTTTAATAAACTTTACTTTTCTAACCTGAAGTATTTTTATCTTTACTGTATAAACATAATTTCAAGAAGTGCTATATGCTGCAAATAATCATTTTTCTCGAGCAATTAATAAATGGAATACCAATTTATGCCAGGCGTTGAATAAGTTAAATATCCTCTTAATTCTGATTCTTAGAAGCCCTCATAATTTATCAGCAGAATTATTTGAACTTACCCACATTCTATTAACCAGACATAATACACATAAATTAAGATGAGTTCATTTTAATATCATTATCCTTTTTACTATAACAAATATTTTAATGTCAAACTATATTTTATTGTAATAACTCAGGGTTTGATAGCTTATTTTAATAATTTATTTTTAATAATTTTGCTAAGTTATTTTAAATAATTTTAAGTCAGAATTTTCTTACATGTATCAAGGATCTGGATGGTCAGAAATCATAAAAATTAAACAGATGAATCATCTTTTAGGGCACTGTGAGCCAGACCATTTCCTTTAGCAACTAAACAGTATTTTCTTAACATGACACGTGTAAGAATTATGTTTAAGTTTAAAGTATACAAACGATTAAGAAATACAAGAATTTTTAGAACAATTCCAATTTTAAATTGGGGTTTGGTGATTCAAATTAGAATTTAGTTAATTAAAAATTTTATTAATAAATAGCAGAGCACATAACTATTACAGAAGTGTCCTAGCTGGTACTTTGTCAAGGGAAAAATGTATTAATAATGGGGAAGTTAAGTCTGTTCTTGACTATGATTTTTAGGCAATGAATGCAGAATCTATGGATATTGGTAACTTGGATGACTTTTTAAATGATGGCTTGGGCAGGAGTAGAATTGTTTCTAAGAAATTATTTTTTGCTCTTTAAAACTGATTACCAACCATAGGAAATGATGGAAATAAGAGTCTGTTTACTCACTGTATCTTTAAATAGTAAGTTCATCTTTAAAGACTAAATGAGTATCCATTTCTCTAACAGTATATCACAGTTCTGTGGTTTGAGGTCAGGAACAAAGTGAAATACTTACCAAACATTATTGTCACGAGGGCAATCGGCATCACAAACAATCCAACGAGCAAATCAGCCACCGCCAAGGACATTAGAAAATAATTGGTAGCATATTGCAGCTTTTTCTCCAGCGAAACAGCCAAAATAACCAGGATATTCCCACCAATCGTGGGTATTATCACCATCAGTATCAGAAGAGCAGCCCAGCGCGGTTTATTTCCCTGTTGCTCACCAATCTGTTTCATTTCCTCTGGTATCGATTCTGTCTGTAATCCAGACCAGTTAGCAAAGATTAAGTGATCAAATGAGCTCTGCAAAATGTGCTCAGGAATTGTGCTTTGTTCTGATATTCTATAAGAGAAGGCCATTCGCTGTTTTTGTGTGATTTGATCCAATTCCAGACAATGGTCAGCATGGTCAGTAGCTAAGCTGGTCATCTGCTTTTTAAAGGCATTGTACCCAGGCCAAATAAACGCTCAAAGCCAAAGTTGACCTCTTCCTTTAAAAAATATTTTCAGGTTCTCTAAAGTGAAAGCATACATCATCTGTCCATTTCTGTAGGTAAGTGTTTAGTCTTCTGCAGAGGCTCCAGTTCCATAAGGCTTATTGAAAGAAACTGATAGCTGTGAAAGAAAGACTGTTGATTAGTTTCTCTCACTGTCTCCTTTTTTGTGGTAGTGGTAGACTCCTGTCTGAATTTGAGTGCCAGTGACTTCCAAGAGTTCCCTTTAGATATAAAAAATGTGAATTGCATTATTTTATTTCTTTATTTTAAAAAAACAGTTAAACCCTTGAACTTAGTAGCTATTCCCATCTTAATAAATCTCTTTTGTGTTTGTGGCAACGCAACCTAGTTCCGTAGTCATATTCCTGATATGTCTCAGGTTACAAAACAGGAGATACATTAATTTTTTCAGTAGTTTAAAAAAAAAAAAAAGCTAGATGTTTCCTGACCCTTGAATGTCTTTTTACCTTTATTTTAGACTATGTACATAAGAATAAAAACATCAAAGCACTAAATAGTTCTGAATACAAGTTTTTGGTACACACTCATTACTCACCTAGAAATATTTCAAGCCCACCTAAGGTCCAAATAAATGATTTACCAACTAGGAATCCTTATTTGTAGTTGGGTTTTATCTGATCAGGTTTATCTTAATACTGGTATAAATGACATTTCTATGAAACATTTTAGAATTTCTTTAGTTTGTGAGAAGGAAAAAAATAAATATTAATAGAATCCAAATAATTGTTTTGAGTAACTTTACCTTTCATAGAAAGCCTGTTTCTGCAATAACAAATATTTTCCAAATGTATCACTTTATGCAAAATTTCAAACAGTTCTTTTTTTTGTTTTGTTTTAAGTAATCATTTTTCTTCCTTAACCTCTCCAGTTTCCTTGAGAAGGAGGGTAAGGTAAGAGAAGGTTATACCATTTATTCATAAAATCTGTAAATCCTCCATTAAATATCTCCCCTTTAACATCAGTAAAATTTTCATTTAGGTTTTTAAACCACTGAATAGAAATGAAAGATATGATAGCAGTTTTTCTTTTTTTTTTTGAAGAAAAAAAAACCCTTTTAGATTATTTGCTAAATACTTACCTCGTATTGATAATCTCTCAAGCATGTCATCTTATCTGCTCAGTAGACCTGTTGGCTGCTGTGACTAAAGTCGTCCCATTGACTTATTCAGAGCTTCCAGCACTGGCACTTGAAAGCAATGAAACAAATGTGTTGTATAGCTGCAAGCCTGCCAAGAAGGTTATTTCCTCTTTGATACATTCATTTTTAGAGAGTAGCAGCATTCATTATAATTCATAAAACTACCAGTTAAGTATGTTGAACCAGTTCATGACCCTATTCATGTTGTAATCATAAGAGCTTTCTTTGATATTTGGGGGACTGAAATAAACCTCTGTCATTTTAGTTTAAGATAGTTTTGTTTCAGATTAATACTGAGCTGTTTTTCCCATTTGAGAAAAAATAAGTCTAGAGATTCTAGAGCTTTCATTCTGTGAAGATTCTGCCCTGTAAGCCTTATAGCAGTTTCCAGAGATCTAGTTTCAAAACAAGATTCTTATCCAGCTTTTATGTGTTTGCTGCGGAACACAATTAATTCTCTCTGGTTGCAACCTTATATAGAAGAGTACAGAAAGGTCTGAATTCTACATGTATACATAGGTTTTAGCAGAAGCTTTCATTGCTCATTTTTTAAACAGATGGCCTCTGGATTGAGGAGTTGCTTCTTTGGCAGCTTTTCCCCCCACAGATATATTGGGGAAAACATACAGAATGTAATGAAAATGTATTTCTGCCTTATTTCAGAAAATTGGTATAAAAATTTTAACAGCTATGCAAAGTTTTTTTCTAAACTGTAAACTAGCTTATTAGCGTTAGAACTTCTAGCATTCTCAAAATTTCCTTTTAAAAAATCATTATAGATCCCTCATGTGTTTTTTTTTTAAGATTTATTTATTTTTGGAAGAGAGAAAGAGACAGAGCACTAGTGGGGGAGGACAGAGAGAGTGGGAGACATAGAATCTAAAGCAGCTCCAGGCTCTGAGTTGTCCGCACAGAGCCTGATGCAGGTCTCAAACTCATGAACCATGAGATCATGATCTGAGCTGAAGTCCTACACTTAACCAATTGAGTCCCATAGATCCCTCATTTTAAAAATGTTTAATTACTTCTAGGTCAGCCATAGCATTTGTGCCCTTTTTCTGTTTCAAATTTATATTCCTTAGCTTGTGTGGAAAATACTTGATTCATTTCGGTTCTACTGAGCACTTGATTTTATTCAATATTTGCTGCCTTTTTTTTAACTCAAAATTCAGTATTTTGTAAAAATATTTGCTATGAATTTTGAGTGAAAAATATAAAATAATACTCAAGTGGATTTTTATGTGCCAGGACTCTCTTCAGAAATATGGAAATATTCTGAAACACTGCTTTATTCTGAATCACAATTTAGTACCTGTCACAAAATAGCAACATTATATTCAATGAAAAGACTTGTCTGAAACAAACCTTAATGGATTTGTGTTTGTAGATACAACAGTTTATTATTTATTTATTATTCTTTTAATGTTTGTTTATTTTTGAAAGAGAGAGAGAGAGCACGAGAAGAGGAAGGACAGAGAGACAGGGAGATACAGAATCTGAAGCAGCCTTCAGGCTCCAAGCTGTCAGCACAGAGTCTGATAGGGGTCTTGAAATTCCTGACCTGTAAAATCATGACCTGAGCCAAAGGCAGATGTTTAACATACTGAGCCATCCAGGTGCCCCTATAGATAAAAAGTTTTTAAAATATTCATGGAGTATATTTTTTAAATGATGACTTATTACTGTTATAATATTTTGCCAGTACTAACCCTCTCACCCACATTCACTCACTTTTTTTTAATCTTAACTGTAAGTAGTTAAAAGTGGTAGTTAGATTATTTTTGTTTTTCTATTTTTAAATTGGTTTAATGGCTAAGAAGCATAGCTAGTTCAGACTACTTGTTTGGCGACGTTCGGTTCTTAGAAGCATAGCTGAGAATCAGGAAGAAGGCAAAATAATAATAAATAGATGAAAGGTAGACAAATCTCTCAGTTGGCAATAACTATAAACTGCTCTAAAACCTCATGTATGTTAGTTGGATAGCAGCCTCTAAGTCCTCATTCCAAATCTCTTTACATGTACACTCACAGAAACATCTCTCTCTCCCCTCTTTAATGAAAATACCATTTGCACATGGTGGTAAATCTAAAGAGTACAAAAGAATGGTCAGTGATAGCGGCACCTGGGTGGCTCAGTTGATTAAGTGTCTGACTCCTAATATTAGCTCAGGTCATGATCTCATGGTTGTGAAATCAAGCCCTTCTTCAGGTTCCATGTGAGTGTGGCGTCTACTTGGGTTTCTCTCTCTCCCTGTCTCTGCACCCTTCCCCTGCTCACACTTTGTCTCTCTCTCTCTCTCTCAAAAATAAATAAACTTAAAAATAAAGCTCAGTGAAAAATTCACTCTTGAGACTGTTTTAACAGGCATTTCCCTGCTTGCTTCATAGTAGACTAACTAAGGTGGACAAGCACTTTGGTGATAGTAAAAGGGGTCCCACTGAAGAAACAGGAAATACAAAGTACAGGCACGTAGGTCTACTCAGAATAGAGTCTTGTGGCTCACCTGTAACTCAGCCCTTCACAATTTTATGTGGTATAATAACTTGATACCAGAGTGGTGATTTCTACATATTTAAGAAAAGGTTAAATCATCTTTATTCATCTCTGGTTTGGATGGCAGGAATATGTGAAATAAATTTTTTAAAAGATTGCCATCCAAAATGACAAATATATAAAAGTATGACTCTTATGAAATTTCAAATATCTGGAAAGTTGATTTGTGTAGAATGTGTCATTTACTAAGAGCTCCAGATAAATTCTTACTAAAGTAGCTTCAAGTTCAGATTCAGACTCTAATCTGACCATAACCAAAAAAACCTAATTGGTGCATTTTTTTCTAAAATAATGAATTTTGTCCCTGGTGCCTTTTTAATTAACTTTTTTGTTTTTTAAGTTATTTATTTTGAGAGAGAGAGAGTGCATAAGCAGAGAAGGGGCAGAGAGAGGGAGAGAGAGAATCACAGGCAGGCTCCAAGATTTCAGTACAGAGCCTGATGAGGGGCTTGATCCCACAAACCATGAGATCGTGACCTGAGCCGAGATCAGGAGTCGAATGTTTAACTGACTGAGCCATCCAGGCGCCTCTTTTTAATTTATTGAACAGATTCTATCTTTGACTTAAAAGGGCAGTCTGAAACTCAGATTGCCTAAAACTGAACTTCTGTTCTTTCCCTCCAAATCTGCTCTATGTATTGGTCTCTTTATCTTTAGCAAAGGTATTTGCATCCTTCCAGTCTCTTTATCTCACATTACTGCATGTTATCCATCAAGAAATCTTGTTGGGGCACTTGGAAGGCTCAGTTGGTTAAGCGTCTAACTCTGAATTTTGGCTCAAGTCATGATCTCCCAGTTGGTGAGTTTGCGCCCCACGTATGGCTGTGTGCTGGTGGCACAGAGCCTGCTTGAGATTCTCTCTCTGCCTCTACTCCTCACCCCCCACCCCACTTTCAAAATAAAAAAATAAAATGTCTTGTTGATTCTGCCTTCAATATATATATACCAAAATCGTATACCAAATTCCCCCCCACATCTACGACTACCATCTTACCTAAGTCACCATCATATCTTGATTGGATTTCTAGGTAGCCTCTTTCTTCTACATTTGCCCTCTATTCTCAGTAAAGCACCCAAAATGACCCTTTTTAAACAAGTGAAATTATATAATTCCTTTGTTCCCAAATCTCCACTGGCCCTTTGTTTCACTCACAGTAAAAGCCAAAGTCTTAATAAACCCCTGACCTATAAAGTTCCTATGAAGCTTTTATGATCTGGT